CTGCATGTGAAAATACAATGTTACCGGTAAAATTCATAAAAAAAGGGTTATCAAATAAAAGCGCAAAAGTTTTAGCATCAACATACACTTAAAGTAACCAAAGCAAACAAAGCGATAATGCAGAATGGCCCTTTTTCTTAATAAGATAAGATGGACCTTTATTTTTCAGGAGTTTAAAGCAGCAACAGAGTGAGAGTGAAAAACAGGACAGTACAGATTCACACGAGGATAATACAAATACAAATAACATTATAAGTAACTGTTCAAACGAGATATCACAACGAGGTAAAACGTTGATCATTTGAATGAACATATATACATATTTGAGTTTGGAGTATTGAATTGATTTACATATGTGTGCAGATGCGAGTGCAGGTCAAAGTCAGACTCATTTGTGCAGATTTTATGTATGAACAGCACGGGTTACTGTTAAATGGTTACATGGTTAGCACTTGGTATAAATATAATCATATACTTTGTATCACTGAATTATAGGTGTTGTGAAATATAGTGAAGTGATGCATGTGTTCACCTATATCAGCCGTTTTTTTTTATCTTAACCTATAATAATAATAATAATAATAATAATAATAATAATAATAATAATAATAATAATAAGCATAATTGATTAGTTAAGTTATATATTGTCAGTTGAATCTGCAAAATAGCATACATTAAAAGTAATAGTAGCATAATTCAGATAAAGTACAAGCACCTCAAAGGTTTCATTTACCTCACAACACTGCTGATCTGTCACATGACATCATGAAGAAAGTGCACCTTTTCCCCATCAACCACCATTCTAACTCAGAAGCACATGTTAGCAAAGCGGCACTATCACAAATGTAAAAAGAAAAAAAGAGTTCTGGCACAACCACTGCAACACCACTCAGTTCATATCACACTGCCAAAAGTCACAGTATGGTCTTGGCACGCGTGTATGCATACACACATGCACACCACTGCTACAGTAGCATATGGAATGGAAACAACTCCAAAAGGCTCTGGGTTTGTGGTGAAAATTTGTCAAAAGCATCCAGCAGAGGCATTAATCATGGCAGGTCAGCAATCTGTGAATCATTATTCAGACTGTATAGAGCACGCTGTATGACTCAGCCTCTGACTGTAAAATATACCCATAGTTTGTTCACTTTGTATAGAAAATCCCATGTCCATGTTCCACTGCATTGATATGTCTCTTATTACTGTGGACAAGCTAATAATCCAGGATATGATTGGTCAATCCACATAGTTGCTGCATGTACACGTGGCACCTATTTTCTTCATTGTTTGGAGCACAAACATTCGGGTTTTTCCCGTCCACAATAAAGACATTTTTGTGAGTTTTTTTCCCTCTCCGTCAAGTTTGGAATGACAGCCACATCCTTTGCGGCCCTGAGGGACGCCGCAGTGGCCGAGCGATGGATCACCATGCCCCGATCTTTGTGTCCTCTCTGTGGCCTCTGACCTCCAGATCATCGGCCCCCTGCTTCTCTTACAGCTGTTGGGTATTGGGAGGGGGGGGGTCATCCCTCCCCTGTAGAGACAGTGATGTTTGTGTGTCACCACACCGGAGGCTTCCTCTCGAAATGTGGGATTTAAATGTGGCTGGGCGATGGAAAGGCCACCACAAAACACACACACTTCTACACGCTTCGGTTGAATCCTTTCCCAATGTCTAACCACTCATAACGGCCGACATGACATCTCCTACCGAAGGTGAGGCCAAGTTTTGTTATGTAGGAGTATGAAGGAGTGACTCACCGGGGGTTACCACAGTCATTCAAAGAGATCCGGAGATCACAAGGAACCATGAAGGCAGTGTAAGAGGAGAGGGGTGTCCTCAGGCATGACCCCTCCCCTGCTGTTGGTGGAATATAGTCCTCCGGAAGGATGCATGACTCTTCACACATCACACCTTACAGGGTTAGTAGTATCATAGTAGATTCTTACTGTCTAGTTTTTGTGAAATCTTTAATACTTAAAAAGCAAAGGAAGAAATGTGTTGAAATCACACAAAAAATGTACTCTTTTATTTTCATTCCTGTTCTATTCTTAGCTTTTGATCCCGGGTTAAAAGGGTAGCCTTGCAGAGAGGTGTGCTAGTGGCCCAGATACACACTGTGAAACAGGACACTGTCTGCCTCCGGTCCCGGGGAGCCCGTGGAAGTGATGTAATGGGACTAGTGGTTTAGGAATCATCGGCGGTGAGCAGGAGGGTTGGATAGTGGTTAGGAACTCAGATCAGATGGCTTCATTTCCACAGCCTTCACATCCCACTCGGCATTAACTGCCCACCTGTCATGACCAGCAGACCTTAGATTTGCCCATTAGCACAATGAGGTGAGTTATTATGCCTCAATTACAGCTCTCTGGGAACATACTGTGGGTCGTACAAAGCATGCGTCACACACTGATAAGTCACAGACCCGGTACATGCTGAGAAATGACATTGTTTTAAGCTTTGCTATGTGCAAGCTTTGGCACTGAGAAATGTGACCTCACCGATGCTAAGAAGCATTAGCTCCTGGTCTTTGAAATAAATCACACGGTCATCTTGGGAAATAAACTGTGAGTTTGAAGTCCGGCTTTGGGAAAGCCCGAGCAGGCTTCAGTGAGTCTCCCACGTGTTCTTTGGATAATATGTCAAGATTTCCAGCTGTGTTTGGCATTTTGGCCGAGGGCTTCTAGGACAATATTTCATAATACTTTGCCCCTCCACGTTGTCATTGTGCCTCCTGGGCCGGTCCACGAAGTGCAATAACTAGAGATCAATGTCCTCATCAAAACACCAGCTCCTCACCCATCCTCCCTCCGCCCCCCCCTCCCACCAGAGGCTCCCTTTTGTCCTGGATTGTTGGTAAGCTGCATCCATGTCTGTGTCCTCCCTGTGTGGAGGGATAAAGGCTATCATCTGTCCCGCAGATTCGGTGTGAATGCATTCTCTGCGATATGGATATTAATTCACTTCTTATTCATTCAAGCTATTCTCGAAGGCTTACACCACATCAATACAGTCAGTTCCCTGACGGAGGATCCAATTGTTACAGTGGCACAATGGTTATACATGTTCAAAAAGCATGGCGTTTACAATGTAAAACAGCAAGACGACCGTATGTCTTGAACATTTTACAATAAAGTATAGAAATGAAATACAGACTTTTTTTATGGAAAGGGTTTCTCTTATGTTAAACCTAAATGATTTACTGTTTTAGAATATGATATAGATTACACGTTACATCTCTACTTAATTTAAAATATATTGCAGTCCTTGTTTTCAAAAATAATTATGGGGCAACTATGAGAGCAGTATGAACATGATTACTGAGTTTATATTTTTGATAGTTATATCGACTGATTGCAATATCATAAACACACAAAGGACAATCTGAGACTTAAATTGAACTTACGTGAATACAATTTTATACAAGTAATTTGAGTATTTCTCAATTCTAAGTGACTCCGAAATCCCAAAGTCCCCTCCAGAGGGAGCTTCTCTCTCACACACTCCCCCCACCCGCCTCCATTGGACTCCATTGTTTACTTCCGTATCATGACATCACTATGTAACACTCACGCTTCTATTGGCTAGAGCTCTTGGACATCTCTAAGCTGTTGAACAATCACATCAGAGCCGGCCAGCTAACCAATCAGAGCAGACTGGGCTCTGGTTTCAGACAGAGGGTGAAAAGAGGTGCTGCAGCACATGGCAGTATGAGAAAAATAAAAGCTTTTTTGAACATTAAAGCATTTAAACGTCACAGTAGAGATACAAAATACAAGTATGAAACCTGAAAACGAGCATAATAGAGTCCCGTTAAGGCATAGAATAATTGACCAAAAAAACTAGTATCACACAATTTGATACAGCATTGTGTTTATTTAATTGATCGAAAAACAAGCTTTCCATGTATTCCCTGGCAACAGCAGCAGACATTGCTGGAAATAACTAGTGTAAATGATATAATATCCCAATATGTTTGCTCATCACATCATATCACATGAAATGCCTTCACACACACTTTTACCTGGTGAAATTGGCACAGTCTGTGTCACTGTTACATAACCCATCTGCTGCCATGCTGCAGGGAGGTGGAGGATCTCCTGCTGCTGATTCAGCACCACCACTCGATCCACCATGAACCATACCATCACCTCTAATCAACCGTAAAGCCTGGCCTGTGCCATAACAACAATGTTATTCCCAACATACGACCACTGCAGTGTTGTTTTTGAGGCCATTTCAGTGTCTGTCAGCTGCAGTTTATCCAGAGGAGTGTGAGCACTGGCCTCAGAACAGATGCTGGCACAGCAGCATGTCTGACGCAGATCACAGCTGGCAGCTCTCTCTGCAGCCGGACTGACAGGTTACATCAGTGAGCAGCATTAGAAAACAAGCCAAGAAAGCCTTCCATGTATTTTCACTTTGAAATGACCTAAAGATGCGTCAGTGTTGAAAACAAGTATCTTCTGCCAGCGGATGTCTATGAAAATCCTCAAAACAACTGCCAGCCTCTGGAGCTCCCGCTGAGTCAGTGAAATTCTATTTACAGCGAGTCTGTCCGCAGACCTTGAACGCTCTTGAGCTACTTTAGACACTAAAACTTTCCTAACCTAAAATGTATTTAGAATATAGCCACTTTATCAAAAAGCATTAACATTTTCATCCGTTTGTATACATAGAGCTTCAATCCTCGTCACGTTTGACAACATGTCTCATTCTATAGCTGTAAATCCCTAACCTCCTGACCTTTAAGAATAGTTTAAATACTTTATAAAAGCACTCCGAAACCCTTTATTCAGACTTTTCTGTATTCTGATTGCACGTGGACAGAAATGCCATTAACTCCCAGGATGGAGCATAAAATCCCTGAAAGAAAAGTGAAGCATATTTATTTGTACTGCTGATTAATATAACAACATTAAAGCTTATCACAACTGTGTAAACCAGTGTCTTTTTTTTTTTTTTAAATAAAGGAAAAGAATACCAGAGAAACCAGTTGAAGGAAAACATCTGTTTATTTTTCAATAGTTTTTCTTCATGCTGGATGATTAAACTATGAAAGGATTGGACATAGTTGCACCGTTAAATATTAATTGATTTTCAATGAGTGCATCCTCAGGTGGACCAGACAAACACAAGGTGGGGCTCACATAGCAAAGAGCTGAATAAATATATTCTTTTCATGTAAAACAATTAAATTCACAACTTGTCCTTGTGGGCAAATTAATATTACAATCTAATAAATGAGAAATGCCTGCGGTAATCTCGATAACACCCAGAGCTGAATTCAAAATCAAACCGAGCTGTTTTGAGGACTAGCAGTCTTTGGGATATTTACACACTATCTGAACAATTCCCCCGCTGTGTTCCATCCTGGTTCCATCTCACGATCAATTATTGAGCGTGCAATCCATTTTGAGGCTGTAGGAGCATGAAGAAAATGAATTGTGTACATAAATACATGCATGTGACACACTAACTCCTGCTGCAGCTCCGTGTGCCCTCCGGTTAGGTCAAAACCCGGTTATGAAGCGTGCGTAGATTCACTCAACTGTCTGGATGTGTGTGCTCAACATGCATGCACTAATAAAAGTTGCTGTCAGCACAAAATAAATGCACAAGTGGAGCATCTTTCCTTTATAGTGGTTCTGAATCTCCATATTAGGTTGAAGGTTGCAGGCAAGTTTGCACCGTTGATAAAATGTCTTGTAGAATGGTGTTTCTGTTTTCTTTAGACACCTAAGCAGGAAAAGAAACAAGCAAAAATCTATATAAATCATCATAAAATCATAAAGCTAACCATAAATAACGTTAAAAAACATGTCTTCTAAGATCTAAGCCTTAGACAACACATTTACCACTTTGAGAATATCACATGTTGTAAATCTCTGACTTACTGTAATGGAAATACAAATCATATGTTGGTGAAAAAATTGCCATATAACCTTGTTTTACGTTATAACTACTCCAGCATGAGTGTTTTGCATGACAATATCCATAACTGAGTCTTCCGTGATAAATTATTTTGACATTTGAGACCACCCTTTGTTGTTGAATCAGTCACGCATGATTTAGAGTTAATCCTGGTGAGGGATAATGCGGAGCATGCCCTTTGTGTATTAGCAGGCAGACTGACTGCCCCCTAAGACAAAGTACATACAGTGTAAACGGTGTCATACAGCTATTGTGGGACTAAGGAGCTTGTAAACTGACCTAAATATATTTGTTAGAGAGCGTTACTGTTTTTACTCACAGTGAAGATCTTGACATCTCTCCTGCTGCGCACCTCTTCCACCAGACCCAGCGGTTTGCCCTTGGGGATGGGGATGGTGCCCAGGACGGTGCAGGAGGAGCTGTCTAAAGTTTGTCTCACTGCCCTGATGAACGGCTTGCTGAAGATCTCCATTTTGCCGATCTCATCAATGACGAACACCTTCCTGCTGCCCCCCTCTGCTGAGCCTACCTGAGGACGAAGGATGTTAGCATTAAAGGGATGGTTTGGATTCTTTGAAGTGGGGTGGTAGGAGCTATTTATCTGTAGGGAGTACAGTAGAAACTGTCGTGTGAAACTGACAAGCACGGAAGTTAGGCAAGGTACTGCTTTGGACAGCGTCAAATGTATTTTAGCCACCTAAAAAAAGATAACAACAGAAAATATTCAAATTCAGTTTGAGTGTAAGCTTTATTTACAATGTTTTCACTGCAAAACCTTTCCTTTAAACAGATGTTCCTGACAGGGAACTGAAGCCATTAACCGATCTATGCTGTATCCAAAGCCACCAGACTCCATTGAATAAAACGTTTTAAATAGCAGAACACAGAAGTTGCTGCCTGAACAGTAAGTTAGTGTCATTGTGTGGCTTTGGTGAATCCGAACTAACCCTTTAAACACCAAATAACACTAATAAACTAATCGATCAAGGCAGCAGAAGATGAGCGACATCTGCTTTCTATGAGGCAACATTCCTTATTTTTTCAATGTTTTGTGCCTTTGAAGAGAGCATAGATGGATACAAAGGCTCTAGTTCCTCTTCATAAAAGGCTTATGACATCAGGTAAAGTGGTGAAACATTCCAAATATAGCAAACACTAAAAAATGATTTTCATTCTTTTAGGAGGGGTTTTTAAAAATACATAATGCTGCTTCCCCCGTCCATCATCTGTGCTGGTACTCCTGTTTCTCCAAACACTACCAGGGAAAGTTACCTCATACAATCCCGCTTCAAAACATCTGAACTATCCCTTTGATAAGTGCTTGTTTGAGGAACAATTTATAAATAAATAAGTTCTGTTTGACATGTGTTGATAAAAAGATTAAAGAGGTTTCATTGGTGTCCATATGGCTAAACTAACTTGTGGAAAAAGCTGATCATGTTAATGCACTGTGATAGTGTTAGTATGTTTCATGCAACGCGTGATCAGCAGTGATTACAGAGTTGCTTTGAGTCAGATGAAAGTGGAATATGTGCCGCCAGGCCGAGGCAGAGACACCTTCCCTTTACAGCACATGTGTAGGCGTCACTCCAGGCTCACTTTACATGCTGGATTCATCAGGTCACTGACAGCCAGACGGCACCACCAACACTAAAAACGTCACTCTGGAATTTATGTGTTTGCGAGCTTCCAATTATTACATCAAATCAGAGAAAATCAAAGGTTTGATGAGTTGTTAAGAGGGGAGAAAGGGGTTTGGCTTGCTGTGATCTATTGACGAGTTTTAAACCCTTACATTTCTGAAGAGGGGGAGAGCCACGTTTTCAAATGAAGGCAAGTCAACCACATACTGCCCAACTGTGTGTTCCCGTCTGCCATGAGAAGAACCAGCGAGGTCTCTGAAAGATACAATAAGTCACTGAAAAAAAGCACAGATAAAAGAGAGCAGGTACTTTTGATGGGATGACCCTGGTACCTGATTCTGGACAGCTGGCCCCTCTCTCCTGTCACTGTGACCACATCAAAGCCGACCCTCCGGCCCCCCTCCCTGACCTCCTCTGTGTAAAACCCTTCCACTCCCACTCCTGATGACATTAGAGCCTCACAGGCTTTCTGCACCACAGTGGTTTTACCCACACCTGGGAGCACAATAAGAGACAATGTAAAACAACTGAATATCACTTATTGATTCTGTGAAATGTGAAATAGGATGCGTCTTATCCATGCATTAGTGATGATGACATCCCTCTCCCATAAATAATCAATAAGGGGTCAACTAAATATACATAACTTTAAATGAATATGTATGTAAATACGGAATAGTGAGCCATGTGGACTAAAACCATGAAAAGACAAGTACAATGTTGAGGGAATTGTACTTTACTTCAGTATTTTCATTTACTGCTACTTTGTACTTTTACCCCACTACATTTCAGAGGTAAGTATTGTACTTTAACTCCACTACATTTATGTAGTACCTTAAGCTACTTTGCATATATGATATAAAACATAATCAGCCCTTAAATAGGACTTTAGTTACACTTGACTTGACTACATTCATAAAATACCAAGCAGTAACTCAAACTATACAAATTAGTCTCACCTTTGATACCAGCTTTGATAAACATATATCTATCATCAATAATTATAATCAAAACATAATATATATTATTCTCAAGTGGGTCGATCTGCATAATGAATACTTTTACCTTTGGTACTTTAACTTGAGTAATATTTTCATAGCAGGACTTTTACTTGTAACATAGTATTCCTACACTCTGGTACTTCTACTTTAACTAACGTACACGATCTCCCGACGAGTACTTCTCCCACCTCTGCATGTTACCAGTATATTGCGATAGATTAGCTAAAGACAAGCTAACTTTCCTCCGAAGCAACCTAAACATGTGCTGGCTCGGACACAGGGTAACTACAGCTGAATGACTACACTTGATTTACAGCGACTGCACCTTCAGCAGCAGCCCAGGCTGGTGTTCAGTGTTACCTGGAGGTCCTGTCAGGAAAACGTGTTTGAACATTTCAGTTTACACCGTTCAACATGCTGCTGCAGCACTTCCGTACACAGCTTATTGACGCATGCGCAGTAGTAACCACACCGCAGTACTTTATGTGAATGAAGACGAACACGTTACTTAAATAAAAGCATAAAAGTAGAAGAACTGAGAGGGAACAAATATACTGCAGGTGAAAGTAATGAGAAACTATTCCAAAACATAGCTCAGCATAAACAAAAGCAACTTTTAAAACATATTTGAACTAAGTAGCTCAATATTGTGTCTCAATATAATGAGAAACATCTTATTTTGACTACTATCTCATTATTCTGACTTGGCATCTCCTTATTTTGACTTTCATCTTACTAACTCATTGTTATGTTTAACAATCTCATTGTTGTGACTTAGGCTTCTATCTTATTATATTGTCCATTGACAGATAGATTGGTTGAAAATATTGAATTGTATTAAAGCTGTACTTAAGTAAAATGTACAGAAGATCCCTCTGCGAAGTAATGGAGTATAATTATAAAGTAGCATAAAATTCAGCAACTCTATGTTAATGAGTTTTACTTAATTACAGTACTTAAATACTAAATATACCTACTATTATTAATAATATCAATGGATTTCTACCAATGCAAATAAGTACGTTTTGATTGTCCCAGTCCCACTGTTAGTGTAAAACAATCCTGTAACTGTCACACAAAAAACACACCAAACCAGTTTTAAATACATTTATAGCTGTCTCTGTTTTGCTTATCAAATAACTGACAAATGCAAAGTAGCAGGCGGTTAAAGGAAACACCCTGAAACCAGGAGCTGGAGCTCTGGGTGACTTCAGCTTGTGACAACTCGACTGGAAACGAGAGCCTATTAAGTTCAAATGATTTGCATAAACGGTGTGCATAGAGAGATTTTCATCCTCTGTCACTAAAGACTCATGGTCCAAGAAGTTATGCAAATGTACAGTAGCCTAGTATTAAGTAAGTGATCAAGAAGTAAAGTGATCACATTATTTCTACGAAAAAATATTCTTTATTCAAAGGTATCAGATATTACACACAACATTTTTTACATACAAATGTACACATTTTCTGGAACATTGCCATTTGTAAATATTGTAACCTTAATGTAGAATTCTATAAATGTTTTCTTTACATGGTATAACCAGGGAGTTTGTTGGCCACTAGCTCAGACATATGCTTATACTCCTTTCTGAAATCCAGAGATCCAAGCTCATCCTCCAGTTCCTCCACCTCCTGCTGTTCAAAGGAGGACACTGACCCAGCAGAAGACCCTCCCACAGGACCGCTGTTCTTGGATGACCCACTCCGTTTACCTCTGGATGATATCAAACTCTCAGCATCAGATCTCTTTCCCACTCTACTGCTCACTGTCCTCTGTCTTCTGGAGCATATGGTCTGCAAGGAGCTGGACCCGTCTAGGTCACTGTCATCGGAGGAGAAGCTGAGGGCCGAGGCCTGGGATCGGGCTTGGATTATTGTGTGCGTCCCCCTCAGAGAGTGCTGTGGAGAGCGGGGGGCTTTGATGGGCACGGGGAGGACGGCTCTCTTCTGAACCCATTCTGAGTCAGACTGGTGGAGAGGAGAGCATGGGGTCTTGGCTCTGGTCACGGGCTCGGGGCTGCTCAGGGGGTCAGGGGAGTAGGCATCGCTGGGCTCCAGGCTGTTAAAGTCATCAGCGTAGTCTGCGTCCTCGTCTCCTTCCCCGCTGGAGTCTGAAAATGAAGATTTGGGGCTGCTATGTCTGCTGCTTCCTGAAGATTCAAATTGTTCTATATGCCTGTCAGATTCAGACTGTGATTTCACTTGATCTGAGTCACTGTGATGCTCTTCTTTATTTTGGTTAACATTATCCCCTTCCACTCTGGGGATGTGAATACACTTCAAGTCTTTTTCAGAAAGAGATTTTTCTGAATCTCTCAAAAAGCCTGTGTCTTTTTCACCTCGAGCTTTGCCATGTTTTAGCGTGAATGTGCCCTGAAATTCAGAGTCTGCTGCGATGTTTTGCATCATTGTCTCGACATTTTCATTTAGACTGGAGCCTTTATTTAATACTGATTTTCTTTTGCTGGACTTCACAATCGTATTACTTGACTTAGTCTTAGCTTTGGCGATACTTGACTGTGTTTCACGTTGTATTAAGGCCATGCATTCCCGTCGTTTCACTTTAAGAGGCGAAATGTTCTTTAGCCTCAGATTGAATGTTTTAGTCGTACCATACACAAGCTTCTTGTGAGGAGATTTACTGGAGCTTTTAGCCTCTTCCTGTTTGTCTTTCACTTTAACAGATGCAGGTGTAGAACAGGATCTGGGGGAATGTACATGTTTTAAGTTGAGACTAGTTCCCTGTTTGGTTTTCTGCGAAGAAACCTCTCCTGGTGTGTTTCCATGGCCAGCTAAAGGCTCTGTGGATGCCGGCCTGTAAATCCATGATAGATTGGGATGTATGGACAGAGGCTGGTCTGAGTTCTGACCATTCAACTGTGACAGCTCAACAAGAAGAGCGTTTAACAGAGGCAACTGTCGTAAGGCTTCCCCGAGGACATTTGGAGTCGCCCCGCTTGTTTCTTGTTTTTTTGCTGTTTTTTCATGTCTTACTTTCTGCTCAATCATTGGAGCACTTGCAACTTCATTTGTATATTCACTCGTTTCATCTTCAGTGTCTTCAAATGTGAAAGCCTCAGAGTCTAAATTCAGTACAGGGCAATCCCCTTTTTTATTTGTGTCTTTTTTCTCTGCAGACTTATTGTAGAAGAGATGTGGCGGACAAAAAACAGTTAAATCTTCTTCAAAATTATTTTCAGTTTCTTCATGTGTCTGGGGCATTTGGCTACCTGGCTTGTGTTCACTCTGCAGGACAACAGGAACACCATTGTCCTGATTATACTCATGTATTAAAGTATTCTCATCAAGAGCCACTGATTCTGTGATTTGTTTCTCTATGATGCTTTTTTGTAAATGTTTTCCGCCATGTGCACTGCTAAGTCCCTTTCTTTCTGTGATGTGTGGCAGTAAACTAGCTCCCAGACTTAGAAGTTTGTAACTCAGGGAAATTGATCCAATGTTCTCCCCCATGAGGTTGCATACACCCACAACCCCCCTTTCACCATGAGACGAGGGAGTAGAAACACCACGTTCATTCTCATCCTGCCTGATTCTGTCCATCGCTTTCGCCAGTGACACAAGAGAGGTACCAACTAATTTGGGGATCTCTTCTTTCACATCCAGCACCATAGCATACAGAGGAGTGTTGGATAGATGGGTAAACAGTGCGTTCAGGTTCATTTTGAAGAAACAAGACTTCCCTCTGTTGAAGGCATATCCCCCCTGCTGATCCTTTCCATTGTGTGCATGTTGGTTCCCTCCAGCGTTGCTTTTCTCAGGCTGATAAATGAGCAGCGTTGGGAAATCCAGCAGTCTTACTCCCAGAGCAAGCTCGTCGGAAACTTGACTTTCTTTCTCCACTCGGATGGATTCCACCAAAAGCTCAAATGAAAACAGAGTCTCGATTTGTTCTCGTCCTGACATCCTGAAAGCCGTGTGATAACACAAATAAACCTTAAACAACGAGCTCACTAACTAGCTGTTAGCTAATCCGCAGCTTTAGCTTGTATCAGCTCCATGGAAACAAGCAGCTGTCGCGAGCATTATGCGTCACACGATGCCCCGGGATACCTGGGAATTGTATTTTCAATTGGAAGTGTATACGTACTCACAAACTGTGGCAAGATATTTGTAGATTTTTACATTAAAACACATTGTGATTCTTAACTTCTCCTTAAACATGTGCTTTTGTTTTCCATTAAGGGTTAACGCAGCATAAATACAAAATATACTTTCTTGATAACTGTCATTTTTTTAAAGATAAGATAAGAGATAAGTTAAAAGTACTTTATTGATCCTAATTTGGGAAATGTTTGCGTTGTAGCATCATAAAAAGACATGGCATTGTACATAAAAAATTTAAAGACTAAAATAAACATTCCAAAATGTAAACATCTCAATAGAAATGAAATAGCATTAAAAAAAAGTAGAAAATACACATGTTGAATTACAAATTTACAGTAACAAAATATAAAGCAGGATATTATACATACGTGTGTGAGGAATGGAATATTACATATTAGAATGGAATATTACATATTAGATTGAATATAAATGTAAAATGTACAGTGTGAGTTTAAGTCCAGTTTTCCAAGAGAAGCTATGGAGCAGAGAGTTCTCTGCCAGCCATGGAGGTGAGTTGTTATATAGACGTATTGCAGTAGGCAGGATTGCAAATGTATACAACCATACATGTACATTTGCGAAAATTAATCATTTGTTTCTTGTTGTCAAAACATTGATGGAACTTTTATGAGGACAACAGAAAAAGAAGCAAAAAAAACCATTACAATTGTGAAACTGTGCTGCAAATGTAATGTTTTCACTTAAGTTTATTTTTATGTTTATGTTTATCCCTGTATGCTTTGTGCTACTATATTTGACTATTTTTGTATACGTATCTCGTCATTTGCTTGTGTATATTTACATATGTATCTGATTAAAATGAAGTCTTGTTTTTATGTTTGTCTATGTTTAAAAAATGTAGGCCTAGTTTATGGGGTATTGCACTGAAATGCAGTATATAATTATATAAATATAAAGGAAAAACATTCTTAAAGTAGAACAAATTACAGGGCTAGATGAAACATTATAATGCAAAGAGATATGAAGATCATAGTTTATTTACATACATTTAGAAAAAAACTTTTCTGCAGTTCACCAGATGGGGCCACTGTAGGGCTTACATGGTTTATAGATGAACAAAGTGCTGTAGTGAATGTCACAAAGGCCACTGGACTTAAACAGGACAGGCTTATTACCTCCCTTTTTAAATGTAAATTAGTTTGTTATTTTCTGTAAAATATGAACCAACAAAACCTGTGATAAAATGTCTGTGTGTGCACAGGAGTGAGGTGCAGAGAGTTCCTGCAGGCTGAGGGTGGGCGGAGCCTCTCTCGGTGCTGCGTGTTGTCACAGATAGGTGCTGGATGCATATTGCCACGGTCT